GCAGTAGAGCTCAAACGGTTTCGTGGTATCAGAAATCTGTAGGGTGGTGTAATCAATCAAACGCTGCTTGAGGTGGCGTACCGCCTGAGTGTGTGCGTCTGTCCACTGGAAAGGGACACCCTTGCGTGTGAGATCTACGAGCGGGCGGGCGACCCTAGCAAAATCCGGGCCCATGAACATGCGACAATAATTAACGGTGCCTAGGAACTGACGTATTTGCGTCTCGTTCTCCAACACCTCGGGCCACGCCTTGATGACTTGAATCTTGTCTGGTGCGGGTTTTATACCCTCCGCGCTGACGGTATAGCCCAGGTAGGTAAGCTCCCGCTTCGCAAACTTGCATTTAGAGAACTTTGGGTAAAATTGCTGATCGAGGAAAATACGTAGAACTTGTTGGAGGAGGGTAACGTGACTGGGAAGGTCGGGGCTGTAAATGAGGACATCGTCAAGGTACGCGATGACTCCCTGACCTAATAAAGGCTGTAGGTATGCATTGATGTTGGCCTGAAAGGTAGCAGGCGCGCCCTTGAGGCCAAAGGGCATGACCTTATACTCGAATAACCCCATAACCGAACGGAAAGCTGTCTTCCACCTGTCCTCCTTGGCCATCCTTATCTGGTGAAATCCTGACTCGAGGTCGAGGGTAGAAAAGTATCGGGCACCCCCCAGCATCTCAAGAATCGTTTGAATAGGTGGTAGGGGAAAGTCAGGCGCAATCGTAAGGGCGTTCAGCTCCAGTAATTGACAACCATGCGCATCTTACGCTCGCCCGTCCCATCGCTACGCTTATCCACCATAATCGTAGGTGCGCAGATCGGAGAGTAAGTGGGGCCAATCCACCCATTAGCAGACAGCTTAGCTATCTCCTGCTTGTGAAATAGAAGTTGTTCGGGGGTCATGCGGTAGATCGCCGATTTCGTAGGGAGCTTCCCTGGCACGAGAAGGATTCGGTGATCGTGGGGGCGCTTCGGTGGCAACCCTGTAGGAAGTTTATCCGGAAAGACCGCACGGTGGGTACACAACACATCCAGTATCACTCGGGGAGTCTCCTGCGCCTCCTCGGAGGTTAACCACGTATCGAATTTCGAGTACTCTAGCTTGGCCGTTGGCCAAGGGGATGTTTCCTCGTCGTCGGGGAACGCGGAGACGGGTAGTGCCTTAAGACACTGTCGGTGGGGGTTGGAAGGGGAGGCTTCGACCAAGACACAACATAAAGCCCCTTGCCACTCCTCCATTAGACGCAGAGCCACGTCCGACTCCATCGCGGGAAGCGCTAGTATGACGTTGAGCCCTTGAAGTGGGTGGTGTATGCAAGCTGCGCTCTCCGAAGTCTGCTGTAGCAGGGCAGCGACCACTGCTTTCCGTTTGCCCCTTGGGGGTGGCTTATACCTCTTAGAGGGTGGGCTTAGGAGTGCCGTAGCTTCCTCCCTAGTCATGTCAGCCACCTGTTTAGCCAGTATGTCGTACGCCTGCTCGGCGGGGGTCCGCTGACGCGTCCCTAACGTACTGCCGTTCCGTTGTGTGGCATCGGTGGCACGAACCACCGGTAGATCTCACCACTGGCCATTCACATACGTACGAAGCCTATCTGACTGGAAATACCACGCTACCCTATGCTCCGTCAGCCAATCAAGTCCCACCACTAGATCATATGGCACCGGCCCGACTAAGAAGTCGCCAGCTAGGCGGGCCGTCCCACACCACATTGTGAGCCCCTTCACCACTCGAACTATCCTCAACTGCGCACCATTAGCTACGGTGAACACGTGTTCCTCAGGCAGCTTCCGTGTTCTCAGCTGCAGGCGTTCTACCGCCCCTGGGCTAATGAAGCTCCTTGAGGCGCCGGTATCTAGAAGAGCTTCGCACTGGTTTCCGGCCACTTCGACTCTTAGTACGGCGGTCATACCCACACTACACAGAGTCCCCTTGGGCGTGGCGTCTTCCTGCACTCTCTGCTCGCGCCACCATTGTAGTTCTTTAGTGCTCGTGTCCTGCGGACGGTCCCCTTCTGTTGTGGCGTCGTTCTGCTCGCCGCTGTGGTCCAGTCTACGCCTAGACCCTTCCTTGATTTGCAGCGTAGTCTCGGCGTGGGACTGGTCTGCCAGGGGTAGCTGAGTCTCCCCCACGTCCGGACCCTCGGGGCGTTCCCGCTCTTCCCCAATACGCAACCTCTTCCCCCAATCTGGGGAGACTGGAATGGAGTTCGGCCCTGTCGCTACCGCGCACATCGCACCTTTACCACTCCTAGTCCGCCTAGCCCGCTCGTCTCCCCTAACGGCTAGGCTCGTCCGTGTAAATGCCACGATTGGTCGACGTTGGGCCGCATCGGCTGCTGTCTGGGCGGCCTGACGGGCTCTGCTCTGGGTCGAGTCGACGTAGGACAGTCTCTAGCGTAGTGATCCCGGCCCCCACACCTGGAGCACGTTTCCCCGATCCGTCGCGTCGCTCCGTTACGGAGCGGACAGTCCCTGCTCGCATGTCCCCTTCCGCTGCACGCGTAGCAACGCAAGTCCGTAGTATCATTCCGTCTGTTGTTGCTGTTCTCTCGTTCACGTAGTAGGCCCGGCTCTCGCCCGCCGTAAGCCCATCTACGCTTGGCATCCTCTAAGTCTCGTTGGAATCGGTGGCGGTCTTCGCAGAAGTCTTCCCACGGTGCCATCTTGGCAGCCAGTGCTGCGGAGGCTTCCTGCCAGTCCGAGAACTTCCTGGTTCCCGCTTCAGTTAACCGTTCTGCTATTTCGTCCGGCAGGTTGGCCAAGTAGTAGCCCACCAACAGGTCTGGAGCCACCGGCACCCCTTGGGCCACGATGGCCGCAAAGCGCGCAGAGTATGCGTGGTGGTCGCCCCTCCATACATTCTCCGCTATCATGGCTTTCATCCGTTCCTTAGTTATACTACAGGAGTGCTCGCAGAATCGCTGTCTCAGTTGCTCCCAATCAGTCAGGGGTTCTCCAGTGCGACGCATTGCTGCCACACACATGTGATTATTTGCAATAAATTCCTTACTAGTTTTGCAATAAACAAAATTAGGAGAAAATCCGGAGCATAAGGGTAAAGTTTAGCCTCTCCACGACTGCTTCGGCAGCGGTTCCGGTTTGACCGTGGCGAAGTGTTGAAGCAGGCGCTTCGTTTGCTTTTAATTCCAGTCTTCTTCGAGTTTATCAGCAATTTCTATAAGTTTATATTTTTTGTGAACGTCCTTTAGTGAACAAAAGGCGAGATTCAGCCGTGTAGCACGAACAATCGAGCGCGCCTGGCACTATAACTGTTTACGAGTGCATAGGAATGCAGGCTTATTCACGGACCACACAGCTAATGGTGAGATCTGCTTATCAGAAAAAATATATTTTCGGCATGCTCGATTGGCTTCAGTCAATGACATACGCGGCAATTTTCCCATTGGCGCGTCTTCTTGGGACCCAATGCGTCGTTCACAGTACTACAGTGCTTAAGGAATTACTCCAATGCAACACGAAATACTTCATTCTTGCACCCGAAGCATAATAAGTGAGTTTTTAGAAACTTTTTATGGGCATTTATGCTGTAATGCTGCTGTTCTTGCCTGCCGAAACGACCACGTGATTGTACACCTGAAACTCTTCCTGTAGGAACCAGACGGAATCCTACAAAACCAGTCGCATTCTTTCAACAGATTTTGCGAATTTTCTTTTCTTTCTTACAAGCAAACCCAGAGCTTCAATTCTGTTTTCTTTTCAAAATGGCTCGTGGGGCCACAGCCTCACGCTTCAATACTTGCCGATCTTTACTGCGCCGTAATTCCAAGCACTTGAACTCTTTGCCAATAGGCGTCTCTCCACTCAGCAGCCGGGGCAAATATACATTTTGTAGGCCTCCTCATGTATATTACGTGCGCCTTTGAACTCAAGGAGCACTTCTAGACCCATGCTCCACGAGCCTGACGAGGACGGCACGGACAGGGGAAAGATCGCTGACGAAGCATCTGACGCGCACAGGTTATACAGCTGGAACAGCAGTCGGAGCACTGCCCCAGCGTGGCACTAAGAGAGTTATCAAGGAAGGAATTGTTGATTCAAGTGCGGTAGATCATGCTTACACTATCAGATGAGTGATGTACCAAGAGATTTGCAACAAATAGTCCGCAAGCCGAAGGGAAACGACTGCACTACAGATAAGATAGAAGAAAAGGCATTTCCAGAACGTAAGAAAATACTGAAAATTCATCTTCTGCTTCCGTTCATCTCTTTTTCAAAGCCGCAGTTGACTCGCAACAAGCTGAGACGGCAATTAAAGGCAAATTCAGTGAAGCAATCAGCATTTTCCACAACTTAGTTCTTCGTTGCCCCTCGCAGCATACAGGGAACTGCTTTTTTGCAGATGTGCACCCCATCCTAGCGGTGCGCAAGGGTACTGGAATGGTCAGCATCTAGAAACGTCAGGTAGTGGAAGTCCCTCTTTTGTCGTTGAGGCACTCTCTGACGAAAAGAGCCTCTGCGCTTGCAACCCCTTTAATGAGCTTCATCTATCAACGGACCACGGAGACGATAGCGATGATACGGATGAAACAGAATTTGGGGTGTCTTCGCAGCCACACATGCCGGATCCTTCGGGAGGAATGCCCGATCGCGAAAGACTTGCTGAGGAGCAGGAACCCTTGCAACTCCCTGAGGCGGACTCGGGCGCTTTCTTAGATCGGCCCTCTTTGCAGAAGCCTATGCTGTGAGTTTGCTTTTATCACAGGACTACATTATTTCATAATACATAAAACACTCTAGCCGGGAGTTTTGGGAGTCTAAGCAACGCCCTTGGAATCTGTACGCCTGGGAAGGCCCCTCTCAACCTGGTGACGCTATCCTGAAAGGAAGCTCCAAAAGACCAGTAAAGCATTCGCATATTCATAAAATGTGCACGTAGCTATGTTCTGCCAACAGGCCTTCAGCCCTCTCTCCGAGCAGACACTGGGCTGTTATGCGCTAGGCACTCGCCAGCTCGCTGAAAGCCATTTCTTGAATTCCTGGGACCCCAGAGTCTACAGCAAAGAAGGATCTTTCGAAGAACCTTGTAGCTCCCTGGAACAGTGGGGGAGACAATACTGTGGCGGAGATGAGACAATGTACGCACAACTTGACAGCAGCCCGCAGAGTTGCTGGGAGTGCGGCGACGTTCGTCTGTTCAGCATGTATAGAGCGAAAAGCCTAAGGTCCTTCGAAGAGCAAATTGCCTCTAGACTGGAGTGCTCTGCGAAGGAAAGCTCCCCCTTTTTTCTCGCCGGCGCTTGCACCGGGGACTGTGGTGACAGCCCATTGGTCACACATCGGAAGTGCCACCTCCGGCAAGCAATCAAAGTGGCGCACCCACAGACCGGGACACTGCTTCAATTCTAAGCCAAATATGTCCGGATGCGTATCAAAGGCTGTGGTAAAGGCTGCAGCAGGGAAAACACAAGTGCCACTCCTAGGTCAAAGCATGCGCCTGTTCATAATAGATAGGAACTTTTGGATGCCTCTCCATTGAAACTCCCCATTAGCCTTCAAGTACTCACAAAAATCCTGTTAATCTCGGGGAAAATTTGCCTCTTTGCAAGTCGACGAATGGATGGCTTGAACATGGTGGCAAAACTATGTGTATTTTCAGGTCACCAGAGCCTGAGGCAATGCTCGCTGCGTTTCCAACCCAGCAAAGCAAACACTTGAGCTGACTTAGCCGAAAGACCCCGAAAATACTGAGGGGATATTTAAGAAGGGTTTAGAGCTTCATAGTGGGAGTGCAGCGGGTGTTGCCGCTGGACTGAAGTAAGCTTTCATCGAGGACACAATTCTTCACCTGGCAGATTGCATAGCCTGGCACTGCAGGTGGCCGCTACAGCTCTTTCAAGCATCCGGATATCTTCCCTTAATTTTCTTTGAGTTTTTGGAAACAGCTAAAAAAATACTGATTTTTTTTCTTTCTTGATCGAGCCTTACTCTGGAGCTGTGTAGGGGACGTGGTGCCAACGCTGCCTCACCGGGGTCAAAGTCTACAGGCGTCTGATTCGGCCTGCAGATAGGTAAAAAAGTACTCTACAAGTTGGCTTGCTTACTCCTAATAAGTCTACTGAGAAAAGTGAGTCTTACTCTCCTCTAAAGTAGTGCCTCCCGTTGGGTGCTCTTTCGGTGACCCCAGGGTGGCCGATATGCAGTGCTTTATACTTCAAAGTCCACATGGCCACACGCAGTTCTAGGTATGGTCCTGTGGCTCTGCAGACATATATGCTGCATAAACTGAAAGGAAAGACGCAATGTCCGAACCGGTGATCTCGCGGGCGGTGCTGAACAGGCTGAAAGCCCCCAGCGAGTTGGCCTTTGCGGAGCGCATTCTTGAAATGGTTGCGTCAGCTGCTGAGCCTTTAGAGATCGCAGCTTCTCTGGCTTGCAATATGACTGACACGATGCCTGAAACTGCGAGCACTTCGGCCCGAGAGGCCTTCTTAGCAGCAGCTGCTATGTCCGCCCCACGGGCTAAGTACGCCCAGGCAAGCCATGAACTGGCGCGTTCTCTCCCTGTGTGCGTTAATAAGAAAGCAGCAGTTGCTGCTCGCACCCTGCGAGACCTACGATGTGAGTTCAAGCGCTTCAGTGACCTCCACGTAGATGGACGCCTACTGCCCCTGTCGGTCTTCATCGCGGCCCTCGAGCTACCGCCTTTCGAGCAGCTCCAACGCCGCAAATTCCACTTCACGCCCGAATTAGTACGCCTTAGAAATGAAATGATCAAAGAATATCTCCGAATAAAGCAGGCCATAGTCCTGCAGCCACGCTGCGCTTCGGAGGGCCCGATCAAATGCAATGCCCTTGGCCTCACAGACGGCGGCAGCAACAACGGCCTTTCCAATAGGGTAACAGCAGCAAACAGATTCTGGTGGGAGTCGAAGTTGTGCCAGGTGCCCACGCACTTTGTATAGCTGACTACTAAGGAATCACTGCCTCATCTCAAAAATAGTCGCTGCACCATTGCCATCATAGTGTAGTGTGCAGGAAGAGAATTTCCGTTGGGAGCAGAATTTATGCGGCAGCAGAAATCTCTGGGCACATCTACCGTCTCTTGCGCTTGGAGCTTACGCATCTACTGTTCTCCTGCCGCTCTAATTGGTGCAGCCTCCGCCATCGTTTCGCCTTCTTCTGTTGCTGCTACTGCCGCCAATGTATCTGCTGGTTTGCATGTAGCGGAGCTCCTTGGTCACTCGCTGGGAGGCGTTCGAGCGCCGTTGGCTTCAAGAGAAGGATGGCCACGCCGTTATAGCTCTACAGCCACTTGTAGGAGCAGTATCTGCTGCGCAGGCCGTATTGCAGAGCTGCAAGAAGCAGCTGGTGCTACCGGAGCCATCAGCTTCAATGCAACGCGTGTGCACCTACAGAGCCTTACAGGCATTTTGCAGCAGCATTTCTACCCTAGCGCGTGAGCTGCTGCCAGTAGAATCCAGCTGTTTGTTCCTTGAGGCCAGCACGGTCATCCTCGCTGCCTCCATAGCTGAAGAGGCCGCACGCAGCGCCGCAGAGAGGGCCTTGGAAAGGCGTAGCCCGCAAGTGGACAGTAACTCGCTCCTTCAAAGCCAGTCTGTGAGCCACCATGAGAGCTGAAAGGCCGGGCCGGGCAGTAATTCCTGCAACCCGTCACGCTCGGAAGCATAACACTGCTCTGCTTGCTCTTCTGCTACTGGGTGATGGTGCATTTCATGGCGGTTATGGCGTTTCACAGAGTGGAGCCATACACAGGACGTTGCCTCCTAAATGCTTTTGTTGGACTGAAAATCTTTCTTAAATCTTCCTGCGCCTCTGCATTCATTTTTTATCTCTTTGCAAGTGCCGACGCAACAATTTTCATCTGCTTACGTATGTGCATGTACGACCCAGGTCGAAAGGCCTGGATGGCAACGAGGAAGCAACACGGCTACTGGCAAGCATGGTTCTCTGCTTGCGAGCGATGTGTGCGCTGACCTTCATCTGGCTAGTCTGTCGGGCGTGGCAAGGGTAAGTGAAGAGGACATCGTCGTGTATTCGGTGAAGCGGCAGCCACTGGCTGCTGCACGGGCCCTGGTTTCTCACTTCCTAGAGCTGTTGCGGCAGGTTTGGCAAGCGCGGCTGTGCCTCACCCATATAAGTCCAATCTTGCATAGCAGCCGTCCAGAATTGGTGGAGGCTCTTAACAACTTCGACCGGGCTCACGCTTCCTTCCAGTTGCCCAGACCCATTCTTCCACATCAAGCTCCAGAGAGCCCCTGCCCATCAGATTTTCCCACGTCCGATCACGGCACTGCTCAGAGAGTGCTGGGCTAAAGGCCGCTTGCAAAGACGCTCCCAGTTTGCGTGTTTATTCTTGCTCCTTGCAGTCGCGATCTGGCTATTGTGTTATGTGGAGCCATAGTTTACGCCTAAAGCTAATAAAGTGTATATGTGCATCTGAATCCTCCATACGCCAAGAATCACGTAAAAACGGTTGAGTTGAGCTTTCACTCAACTCAATGGTCATACATTGTAGCAACTTCGAGCAAACACAACTACTGCAACAAGATTAATTGGCGGGAAACTGCCAAAAGTTTAAAGCAAAGCGGCAGAAGAAGAAATCGCATGGCACTGCATTAAATCTTTTGATCCTCAGCCTTATCACATGATTCATACAATAAAAAATTAACACATACTCTACAGCAACGGGGTAATGGCTGTGTGCGGCACCTCGTCGCCGTGCGAGGCTGTTTTTGCTCGGCCTCTTCCCGCTGCCGAAGAGTTCGCCTGACCATCTGCCTCAAGGCATCGGCAGTTGTACATCTGTAAATTCATGTATATCCGGACCTTGGACCCCTACAAACGCCACTGCCACAGGCAGCCCAACAGGGCAAGGCACCAGCTGGGACCGCTTCTCGGAGCGAATTCTTGCAATTTAGCGTGAAGTTCATCGGCTTCAAGAGTAATCTCATCATCTACAACATCCCCTAGACCGGCAGCGTCTAACAGAGAACGCCAATCAACCGACTCCCCAAGATCTGGAGTCGCGTCAAATACTGCAGTAGACAATTCCCCTGACCGTCCTGACAAGATTTTCTTCTCTGCCGCTCCCTGCTGCTTCAAAATTGCTTCTTGTGTGCTCAAGCACTGCGGCAAACCTTCCTGTGCTCGCCCGACAGAAAAGCACACGCGCACGCAGAAACACAGCTTCATGCCGCCAGATTGCTGCATCCTTAGAGCATGCAGGCAACCTAGCAAAAAAACCCGTCTGCCTTGCTGGCCTTACCTTGAACCGGTCAATCCGAAGACGATCTGCAGCGGAAAATGCTGGCACTGAGGAGTACCTGCCTATGGCCCGCCTGGGCTTCTCCACTCCACTCAGTCCCTGGGAAGCAGCCACTGAGGATGGGCATCGAGCGCTTTTTCCCTCTGAAGATGAGCTTACGGAATGATAAGTACAGTGAGGAGAGGCAACGCTGCCCCTCTGGCATTCGGAGGCAGCTCTTGCACTTCGGCGGCTCTCCTCGACTTTCCGGGAATCAATTACTGGGAGACCTTCTGCTCCTTGTTTCATGGGTAGTTTCTGCTGCTGTTTCTGTGCTTGATAGTGCGGCTGCCTTGCAGTCCCAGACTCTGCCTTGAGGCGAGGCGCCGGGCTGCGCACGAGGCTTCCACGAAGCACTTCGCGGGCTGTGCTGTCTCTCCCCACCCTACTGCTGCTACCAGTCGACACACCTGCAGAGTTACTGCAGCCTGAAGCTTCGTGAGCTTGCGCAGCTGCCTCCTCCTTAGGGAACTCCACGGCCTTTGATTTCAGAGACGCAATGGAAGAGGCAGTACCGGATTGGTTGTGCCGGCCTCCGCGCAAAGGAAGCTTTCCAGTAAACACAAAAGAAGAATAATCGGCAGTAAAACCTGGCGACGTCTGCGAAGCGTCAAAAGATTCCAGGGCATCCTCAAAAGCCTCAGCAGAGCCCCGGCGACTAACCATGAAGCTGCAAGCGGGTTGCATGTGGGCGGTAGGGCAAGAACTTGCGTCGCTCCTGCTGCATGTATCCTCATCCGAAACACCTGAAAGGGAGCACCGCACTGGCTGGCATGGGCTGTATAGATGTGGCGGAATGCGCCCCATTCGGGGAGACTTGTACAAAACTTTGCAGTCCACAGCGGTCACTGAAGGTCAATGGAAAACACCTCATAATCTACCAAGACTTCTCGGAAGACGGGAGCCACAGAAGAAGAGATGCTTTCTCTCCGAGGGCTCGAGTCGTCAGAAAAGCATTTCGTGAAGGCAGGCGCAACTAGAGTGGGAGAACACTCGGAGCATCGCAAAAAGTAAATCTTACCGAGGCGTGTTGAGCTGGAAGATACGAATGAAGTCTCTAAATTAGTCCCATGGGGTATTTTGTTGCCTCGGTTGCCACCGATACTGGAAGTTGAAAACGTGCGAGATCCCAGTGGTGAGCCTTGCTGACGCCCAGGCAAGCAAACGGCAGAAGCTGAGTGATGCAGCATTGCTTCACAAAGTAAAGACAAAACGGCAGAAGAAGATGCCCAAGCGAAAGGGTCTACAGGCTGCTTATCACCTCCTCCAGAGGTGGACCAGGGGCTCAACGGCCGAAGGCCCCGCGCTGCGTGTGGGCGCCAGATGGTGTTTTTCCAGTTAAAGACACAGCAAGCCTAGACGTTTCTCTTTATCTGACACTTCCAGAGTATAGGAGAGTCGAAAGCAAGAGCCAGAGCCCAACCGAAGCTGCCTCGTGCTAGCCCAGAATGTTGCACACGGCGAAAATCTACTGGAGGCATCGGCTGCAGAATCCGCGAACACAAACGAGCAGAGCCTTCATCGAGGTACCTATGCAAGTAAAAACTAATGGAAAGCTTTTGCGGGGAAGTACAGATCGAATTATGGGCGGATTGCGCGGCCGACTGCCGGTACAGCGCACCGCAAGGTCCAGGCGAGTCCGCTGCTGTCAGAGAGGGGACCGGAGTGAAGGGCTGCTTGAAACATGCTGTGGAACGTTGTTATGAGTAAAACATTTACAACATACAATGAAGATTGTTTTTTCTTTGGGGCTATGGCGAAGCAAAAAAGCTCATTTTTGTGCACAGGATGCTACACGGTCGTTCAGACGCAGAGCCCTGAAGGCATCGTCGATAAGCTTGATTTCGGACTGCACTGGCGAGTTCTCTGACAAAAGCAGTCATATTCACTTCTTGGTACTCTCTGTCCTCATCTCCATAAAAGTAAGTTTCGGACAGCTTACGCATGAGAGCGGGGGATTAAGTTTCACAGCGGTGCACTGAGAATGTTTTGTACGAGTGGCAAGCAAAGAGAACAACGGGAGTTATCGAATTTGTCTAAGCACTCAGGTTGCACTGTTCAAGTAAATGAAACAGACTTTGCCAGCATATAACAGCTTTGCTGCTGGTTACTACGTACCAGCTTCAGACGCCGAGATTGGCAGATTACCGCAGCTCAATGACCATGTCGTGCATAGAAGTATGTATGGTGCCCTCTGAGAAAGATAAAGTCTGTGGTTCTTGGCCCTAGGAAAATGTGCTGAGGACTTTATATGTCATTCAACACAGCCCGCGGGGTATATCAGACAAAGTCAGCTGGTATATCCACAGTTGGGAAGGGGGATTCGCCATCACCAGTATTGAGAGTCCCACTAAGGGACAGCGGAAGAGAAACTGGCCTCCCTAACGAAACAACGTCGCCAAGCAGCAGCTCTAGCCATGCAGTCACTGAGAAACTTTGCGGGCACTGTCTATGAAGCCTTGGGGCGAAGTTTAGGCTCAGACGTCGCACACGTTTTGAAACCACAGTCCCGATTCCTTCACAAGGAATATACCCAGAGCTCGCCGTGTCTCACTAGGTGCTTACTTGGCCGCAGAAGGCTTTGCGAAAAGCACGTATCTCCCCGAACATTGTGCAACGTCCATGACACTGAAGCATTACAAGGCTTTTTCTGGTGCTTGAGCCCTGACCGCTACCGTGGCTGTAGTGCACTGCGCCCGCAGCTGCGACTACGTGCTCTCAGTCCCTTGGGCAGGGTCTATAAACTGCTCCCTACGCTAGTCCATTTCCTAGAAACTCCAGCTATAGCGATTAAGAATACAAAATCACGAGTTTTTTTCAAATCTCTCTGTCTGTTTCGCACCCTCCTGGGAGCTCGCCTCCTAGTCCCTAAGGGAG